CAGCAAGCCAGACAGAGAGGCAAGGTGCTGCCTTCGCTCTCAAAATGGTGCAACACTTCCAGTCTTGCGAGGCTACTCTGAAAGAAGTAACTCTACTTCCCTGCTCATTTTAAAGAAACCAAAACCCATGCAAGCTGGGGGCTTGAGCAAGCACTTGTGGGAAACTGGCAGCAATCCCACCCTGCAGAGCAAGCAGCCTGATTTCCAGGTCTGTACCTGCTCGCCAAGCCCTCCGCTCAGTCAGCACTGGAAAAACACACAAAATAAAACAGGGCTTTCCAGAATCACTATCCTAAAAAACAGTTTTATTTGTTTTTCTCCTCCCTGATCTTTAGAACATGAAGTTTCATATCCAGGCCAGGCCCTAGACTCCACATGATGGATCAAGTGCAGGGTCAAATGTGTGGCCACAGAAAGAGGGTGATCCCAGTGCCCACAGCTCACTGCAGACACCCGCCTGGCTGTCTCAGTCCTGCAGCACTCGTCCTCACAATCCTGCCTGCTTTCACAAATCCTACCACATTTGAAGACAATTATAAACCAGCATTTTCTTCCCTGATCAGAGCCAAGACTTGTGTAGGAGTTTCTCTGTAGCTTATCCTTTCCCAGCACAGGAGATTCCCCACAGTTACTAGCCACAGGCACTCAGGTGTGTAACCAGCCCAAACCTCCCAGGGCAGCCAGCATCTCTGTCCCTGCCATATGTTAATTAATGCTGGGTGAGAGAAGTGATGAGAGGCCTTGCTGCACCCTGCATGGGAGAAAATGTTTCACTTTAGCAATGCTCACTCATGCAGTTAACAGTTTCCTTGGCTTGCTCTGACAGCTGCTGGCTTCAGGCAGCAGGGATGTGCCTGGATTAGCAGTGCCAGGGGCTGCAGCCTGGTGCAAAGAGCTTCCCTCCCCACTGACCACGTTCCAGCAGCAGCCTGTCCCCTGCATATCTCTGGCCAAGAAGGTGCATATTCATGCTGCCTATAGTTGGATGTTTCAAGACTCTGTGGGTTAGATTGTAAACTCTGAAAAACAGAATGTGTTTGAACAGCATCTTGGACAACAAAGGAGTCTGGTCCAAGAGTATTCCAGGAAAACACCCAATAGAGATCACATCCACCATACTCCTGTCACCTGCCAGCCCAGCTTTCACCTGCAACCCCTGCCCAGGGCAGGGACATGCACAGCACCTCACACAACACAGCCCTGGCCGGCTCCACGGCACAGGTAAAGCAAGAACCAAGCAGCCCAGCACTGTGAAGGGAAAGTTGGGAGAGGAGGAATTTGCTAGAGCTGCCCTCTGCCTCAGTGGTGCTTCACTTGGAGAGGAGAGGATGTCACCCCTCAGAGCCATGCCCAAATCCTCCATTGCACCATGAGCTATTTGCAGACAGGTTTTAGCCTTGTTCCTCGGGGCTGCAGCCATTTCAAAAGCCAGGTATGCAAGCAAACAGGCTTGTTACTGGCAAGAGCAAGTGTCACTTGCCCAGCCTGCTCTCCTCCACTCGGGGCTCACGAGCAAGCACTAGCACTTGGACCACTGTTTGCAGCATGCTCCTGACACACCGTGCAGCCTGGGCATCCCACAGCACATCTAACAGGCAAAACAAGGAAAACATTAAACTGCATCTTTAATTTAAAGCCATCTAACACTGCCAAATTCACCAATAACTTTTTCTCTAGAGGTGAGCATTGGCTTCATCATTCTTTCTCCCCTCTATTTTGCAGACAATTCTGCTTTCCCCCACCCCACCCCGTTTCTCTTTCACTTCCAGTGCTTCATGTGTTGGGAAATGCTGAGCACTCCTAAGCCCAGCTCCCCTTCCTGCAAAACAGAGAAATCAGAATAAACAAGTGTAAATTAGCAGCCATTGCTAGCACCTAAGTGTTTCTGAAGCTTGAAAATGGTACTACATACATAGATGTTCAGTAAACCAGCTCCACAAAGTAATTTGTTACAGAAAGGCAGAGCTTGCAAGTTATACCTTGAAACCAAAGCCCAAGACTCCTAGCATCTCAGTAAAAACAACTCACAGCTTGCCCTAAAATTGGTGGCCCGGAGGTTTGTGGTTCTCCAAGACAAATGAACAAATGACTGGAGAGCTGAGAAGTAAAAATCAGTGCAAGGACTGAGGCATAACTCATGACACAGCACGTCTGTCCATTTGCTACGGAAACTATGTTTGGCAAGTATCAGGTGTCTGAATTTCTGCTTATGTACATCTCCCAGGACAGCAGTATATTAATAACACAGGCAGCCTAAAACCAGAAACTATCACCAAGATAAGCTGCCCTTCTGCCGAGAGTTCCTTGCTGCAGCCTGGGCATTGTGCTTTACTGAAACAGCTCAGAATTTTGTTTCTTTGCTTTTCAGATTTGCCATCTAAGCTGATCTCAATTGAAGGAAGACCAATAAACAAAAGGAATGGAAATGAAAATTACAGCAGGAAGCAAACCTTATTGTAAGCAGAGCTTTCTTGAACGTCTTCCCATCATGGCTTGCACTGCCATGCCAATACAGAGAGCAAGCAGCAACCAGGGTGCCACCTTAAAGGCACAACAAACCTTTTCAAGAGATCCGCAGAAGCCAAAGTTCCTGGAAGCTCATCGAGCTCAGCAGGATAGCCCAGGCATGGCAGGCAGCAGGAAAAGAAGCCACAGAGTCAAAATGGAAGAAAGCAGCAAGCAGACACAGGCTTACAGGCAGGGCAGAACATCGGGCACAGAGAGGAGCACGGTAACAGAAGCAGAGTAGGAAGAAAGCTACTCCAGATGAACCAAGTTTTCCTAAGAGCAGCTTTCACTCAACAGCCTTGGAAGGAGTATTTGTGGCAGCACCCAAGAAGTGTGCATATTTGGTTAAGATCCATACCAGATTTTTCCCAGATACTTAAATCATGTTAGAGATGCATTAGTCACACGAAATCAGCCAGTCACTCCAAACTGCCTGGACTAGGCAGGCTTGTGTATGAATCCGGGAGGTCATTTCCCAGGAAACCCTCAGTTTGTCAGCGGGCGAAGTGTGTCCCCACAACTGAAGTGTGCTGCCCCCCCGTGTCACCCAGGAGATTCAGCTCCAGGCAGGAGAAAGTGCAGCCACATTTCTAGTTCATCTTGACAGTACGTATTTTAAAAGAAAACTGGGCATGTGCATTTTGCTTCTCTTCTTCTGCTCTCTGCTGTACGAAGTAGAGGAGTAAAGTTTTTCCAGGGCTGCATGTCTGTTACTCACAGATCAGCAATTCCTGTCAACCACTCTGATTATGTTTGTCTCAAACCTTAGCTAGGGATATATTTTCCACTGTTTGAGGTGTAAACACTGCCTGTTTCACATCAAACAGTGCACAAAAAAGGCCTGCAGATGTACACAGCAACACTGCTACTAAAAGGCAAGGCTTGTCGGTGACCATCGGGCTGGTCAGTGACCATCAGGCTGGTCAACAGATCTCCGCACTCACCCAAGTGGCTTCCCCAACAGTTCAGAGTGACAAAGGAGAATGATCTAATTTAAGTCACCGAGAGAATGTCATTATGATCACATGATTATTCAGGGGATCAGGCCAGATAGGACAGAATTAGCCAGGCCAATGGTTCAGATTTCCTCTCCTCTGCCAGGAGCCCAAATCTTAAAATAGCCAAGGAATTAGCGCCAGCCACCTACCTGAGCAGCCTGTTATTATCACCTGGGCTTTCCTCTGAAATCTTCTGCCAAGGCTGACCTACAGCCAACAGCAGCAGAGACTGTTTCATCTCAGACAATAAAATAGCAAGGCTAAGTACATGCCACAAAACCCAAACTGGAATTTCTGCAGGTCTCAGATTTGCAATAAAATCCAAATTCTAATTTCACAGTCAAACTGCATTTTCAATCAGGACTGGGGATCTGCAGTCAGCTATAAATAATAAATCATGCTCCACAACGAAAAGCTATGCTCAGTTCTCTGCACTTGTACTACTGGTGGCAAAAACCTGCCCTCTCATTCCTGGTTCACCCACCCAGAGGCTTATTACAATACTGTGCTGCGTTTATCACCCCCTGAAGCAGAAGATATCCTTGTTTCACACAGGCAGGGAAACCAAAATGCAGTGACAAGATGCTGCAGGGCCCAAGGGACAACAGAAGTCCTAATACAACCCAGACTGCTCCGATTACTGGTGCATCTTCTCAAAGAGCTTTGATCAGTGAGAAGAGCTGTACATAAGCCAGTTGTCACCCTTTGCTCCTCTCTACAGTTCAGCAAGAAGTTCCTCTAAAGGCAGTCACAGCTTGCAGGTCCTTGACCATTTTCTGAACCAGGAAACAGCATGTTTATGGCCCAGAAAACCCCCAAGAATTAGCAAGTTACCTTTGCCTGGTCAGCCCAGAGGTAAAGCAGTACGTCAGCACGTGGCTGAAAGGCACCAGCTTGCTCAGGCAGTGTGGTGTGCTGCCTCTGCCCTGCGCAGTACGACAGATCTTGACTGCTCACAAACAGGAGATTAAATTCAAGGTACATCTTCCTTGGGGAAAAAATCCTTCACCCTCTATTTGTCTAATTACATGAGAACTCACATGAAACACAGACATTCAGTTAAACACAAGAACCACTACTAAGAGCCAACACAGTTGAAAAATGGTTAATTTTTTTTTAAGAATCCATCATTAATTATAAATGTAAGATACAGCCTGCATCAGCAAGTTCTGAATGGATAGCTTCGCATTTTTTTTTCAAAACAGTGAGAGCTAGAGACAAGGACAGAATTAACTGAAGGTTCTGGCATGACTGTTGGCTTGTCACAGCATGGGTGCTTGTGAGCACAAAGTCAAGAATATCTTCAAAGGCAGAGAAGACCATAGGTCCCCTCATGGCTAAGGGGGAGGATTTGTGAATAGATTCCTTGCCTAGAAAAGACGAAAACAACCTAGTCAAGATGAACGGAGGCAGGGCAGCAGAACCACAAGAAGCTCCACCTTGCCAGTTTTTCAGTTGAGGAAAAAAATGGCTACAACCATCAAAATTTTAAGTCTATTTCTGTTTTTTCAGGTTTGGTCTTTTTCTTGGCTGCTTCTTTGGTCTCTGCACAGCATTCTTAACACTGGCAGGGGGCAGTATGAAAGTTATTTCATTGTCCTCGGCATCATCATCCGCCTGGGAAGCTTTCCGGCGCTCAAGCACTGCTGGAGTACAGACAGGAGTAGGATCCTGAAGAGATCAGAAAAACACGATTCATTGCAAAGCACCTGCCAGAGAAAGTTGTCACTGCCTCTGTGGTACCGCAAGGCACCTCAGTCCAGCTCTCCTTCAGAACTTCCGCATGTTAGGGGAAATTGTTTTCCTTATGTAACCAGCTTTTTTTGTAGACAGTATTTCTTCTGATAAAAGTGTAATCTTCAAAAAAGTATATGTGAAAGGCGAATGTAAATTAATTCACATTTTCTAACATGTCATTATGCACATTTGCTTTATAAACCTTTTATTTCCTGACTCAAAGCACCAAGAAAACCAAAAGGAAAAGAACTGGAGGGAAAAAAGTATATTTGAGACTGGCATACAGAAATGCCACATTCAAGCTGGCAGCAGAGCTGAAACATCCCAGCTTCATTACCTCAGCAAGTTCTCAGAGCTCAGTTGACAGAATGTGTGAGTTACTCTGTCTTCCTCACAACCAGCCCTGTCCCAATTACCGCAAGTAAATCCAGTAACATTAAAAAAAAACAAAACCAAACTCACAACAGTGATGAAACAGAAATGTTAATACCTGACAGACTTTTCAGACTGTCAGAGCCCCAAATCTCAGTCCCGATGCCCTGAGCTTTTCTTTTGTCCTATTGCTAGTTTTAGCTGGCATTAATTTTCAAAACACTGGAATACCGTGCCTGGAGAGCCCAAGGGAGGCAGGACAGGACAGTCTGTAAATCGAGACAGATAGCACTAGACTGTATTAACGGTTCAACTCCCTTTTTGTCCAAACAGGCTGGTATTATAACACAGTGCAGACCAACAGAAGGACGCCAGCAAGGAAATAATTTTGTACCAGTTTAAAGCATAGATGTAGGTGGTGCACAGGGGACTGTCCCGAGCACCCTTTGTTTTTCCTCCCTCAGTCTGTGCTGAATAGCAGAGGCTGACAGCAGACACACCACTGCCCAGACGCACCTCTGGACAAGCACTGGTAGGTACTGTATGCTGAGCAGAAGCCTTTACTGCTAAATAATCCCACAAGAGAAAGAACTGAGAGGATTCTGATTGTGATCTGATCTAGGTGTTCCTGCTCCGGCAGGTGGAGTGGACTAGATGATCTTTCAAGGTCCCTTCCAATCTCTAACATTCTGTGATTCTGGGGATACAGCCACCCTCCTACATTCAAGAGTGTTAATACATCTCAAAGGAGGTACTTTTGGCACAAAAATCTCTCAAGCAAAAAATGTCAAGGTTTTCAGCTGCTGAAATTAATATGAAGAAACCAATTGCAGACTTGAAACATGTGCCCCAGAGTGAATGGTGCAGCACGGTGCTGGGCACCACCGGGACTGTTCAGTCTTACCTGGCTGCTCACAGAAATGTTCAGTTTTGATTTCTTGGATGTTTTAACTCTTTTTCTCCTTATGGAAAGCTTCTGTGCAGCCTAGGAAGCAAGACAGATCAGGTGGATCACTACAAATGTCCTTGTGTGAAAACACAAACTGTCACTTAACAGTCTATAAGTTTCTTCGCTTCCTAAGTACAAAATATTTGCTACAGCAAGTAGGTTTGAATTAATAGAATTATTTACAGTGCCACAGAGGTGATCTGGTTTGAACAAAACCACTCAAAGCAACGTAAGACAAGCTGCTACTGTGCATTTTAAGAAAATGTTAAACAGTATTCCTTAAAATTCAAATACTGCACCCAAGCACGCTGCAAATGAGCAAAACGTTTGGTTGGGATGGAAGCTCTAGTCTTAAGACCTGCCTTCAAATACCAACCCTGCCAAAGCTGCCAATAAGGCTTGAGAGAAGCCCTGTTGCTCTTCTGTGATCTACAGACAAACACAAAAAACACAGGATAGCCACCTGTTTATACTAACAGAACAAAAGGAACATCTTCACTTTGCCACTACTTATGACTTCTCCAAAGCTAAACCCACAAGTACCTACAGCACAACCCAGCAACAGCGCAACTCCAGTTTCCAGGAGCTTCTTCTATTCAGTTCTTAACGCAAGTTAAGTCTCCTTGGTGCTCCAGCTCTTTTACCAGTTCCACATAAAACACATTATTTCCCTGTCTTTAGCATAAACTTGAAACATGTTTTGCATAAAACACTAATAAAAACAATGCCAAACTTACAAATCCTGGGAAGTCATAATCGAGCCCCTTTTCAGCCAGCCTCTTCCGTAAAAGTTTCTCCTTCCGCAGCAGTCTCTTTGTCATCTTCGCCTTCTGAATGAGTGAACGCACCTTGTTGTATCGCCTGACCGCTGGCTGAGAAGGCTTCAGAAATATCTTGTTACTGTTTTTGAAGAGATTTTCATGGACCCTTTCAGGAGGTATGACCTGACCTGTACCATAAGCATATGACACCAAGTTACAGCAGAGCTACCCTTCTCACCAAATGCACTCACAGAACGCTATTCAGTTCTCATTATAACATTACCCACCACTACAGCAGAGCACTAGTACGGCACTTCATGAACAGAAAAGATGGAAAGTCACTTAATACTCACCAGTAACAGAACTGATAACGGATGGATAGAAGAAAAGAACACTTTTACAGTTTCACCCAGAAAACAATCAGAGAAACTTGTTTTTCAAAAATTGATGCATATATATAGCTCATAATCCTTCACAAAGCTAGTGTCGCCATCACCATGTCTGAGAAGCTTCCTAATTTCATTAATCTTTTAATCAAAAAAGCCCGTTAGGTGTAACAACACACATTGCAGCTGCTACAGTTATAAATACTTAAAATAAAACCCACCAAGATTCTCCAAACAGTCTAAAAAAATAACACAATAACTATGAATTTCCTTTGCACATTGGAGGATTTGCACTTCAGCTTACACTTACACTTCAGCAGTCTTTCGGAAAACAGGTAGTTGTTCATTGTGTCTGCAACAATCTTAGCCACGTCATCGGACGCAAACTCTATAAATGCATAGCCTTTGCTAGCCCCAGTCTGCAAGCAATGACAGAAAGAAATCTGAAACGACGCTTCAACACCTGAAGAACTAAATTAAAATTATTTTATGCTTCTGAAGTCATAGCCCATTCTCAGCTAAACTCAAGCAATTTCATAACATTCAGAAAAATCATGAAAAGCACCAGAGTTAGTGGCAAGACATTATTAGAATCATAGAATGGTTTGGGTTGGAAAGGACCTTAAAGATCACCGAGTTCCAATCCCCCTGCTGTGGGCAAGGACACCCTCCGCTACAGCAGGTTGCTCAAAGCCTCATCGTATATATTTGCTTATGAAACAAACTGCTAATACCTATTTGCTATTAAAAAAAAGCTGTGTTGCTGTTGTTCTGTGGTTGTTACCACACGTATACAGCAATATAACATGATGATAAATCCACAAATGAGAAGCTGACTTTTTTGAGCGTTTTCCATGACATTTCGTGTCCTACCTTGAATCAATGCATTCTGGCAACACTCCTCACACGGGCTACATTAGCTGTCACTGAAGCTGCTTACTGTCAGTCACAGAACCACAGGATGGTTTGGGTTGGAGAGGACCTTTAAAGGCCCCCCAGCCCCACTCCAGAGCCAGTGCCTCACACGCTGTGTACCAGCCGGACACTCGCTGCTGAAGGAGCATTTTTCCGCCAGGCCGTGAGGCACAGTGCCCCCCTCTGCCCGCTCCTGAGACTGCAGCGGAGGTTTCCACGTGCTGCGCCCCGGCGGCAGAGCACCGGCAGCCAGGCACCGACCCCGGAGCTGCTGAAAGCCCCTCGGGCAGGGGTCAGCTGTGTTCATACACCACCCCGGCGGCCTGTGC